TAAACGGGGTTCTATGACGGCTGTCCAGCATCGAGATGAAGTCCTAGAACCCATTGTGAGTTTGTACGCTGCAGCAGTTGGCCTTACGTTTGTTTTAATGGACAATAATGCACGTCCCCGTAGAGCTGACATTGTCGATGACTACCTGAAGAGTGAAGGGTTGCGCGTATGGCTTGGCCGCCGCGCATATTCGCCCGACCTTAATCCCACTGAAAATTTTTGGGATGCTCTTGGCCGTGCTGTATCTTCACATTTCCCACCTCCAGCCACTCTTATTGAGCTGGAAAACTGCTCTACAAGAAGAATGGCAATTGCTTAATTCTGCAGTTCTAATTGAAAGCATGGTCCCAAAGTGTAAACTTTGTATACAGTTGAGGGGGGATCACATACAATATTAATGTCCTTTTTTCATTTTATGCTGTTTATTTCCACTTTATACATAATTCTGTTTTATACAGTCTCCAGTATGTCATTATCTGATAACTTACAAAAATTTATTATTGTTTTCATTTCTGTATATAATTATTGATTTTGTTTTATGCATAAATATATATGCTACTTTCCTGCTGAATTTTGTGTCAATCAAAGCAGTATTTGTTGATTTTTTTGCATTTTATATCTTTGTGTTTAACTTTTAGAAGTGAGCGTATAATTAAAAAGCACATTACTGTTAGAGAAGAAAAAGTATACAATTATAATTTACAGAACACTAGAAAATTTGATCACTAGCATTAGCTTTTATTTAAATGCTTAGTTAATGTACACTCTTAGACAAAAAAAAAAAAAAAAAAAAAAGCACCAAGGAGTCATACAAATGGGACGAAAATCGGTAGAAGTGATGTACATGTACAGAAAAACAAATGATTACAGTTTGAGAAAAATTGGACACACCAAGTTATTGAAGTGTTAGAGCTTTCACAAAGTGAAAAAGTCAGTCACCGTTTGTCCTACCTCTGGCTCTTATGCAAGCAGTTATTCTGATTTGGCATCGATTGATAGAGGTTGCGGATGTCCTTCCTGAGGGATATCTAAACAAATTCTGTCCAACTGTCGTGTTAACATCAACATCCGAGCTGGTTGGAAGAGCCTTGTCCATTAATGCTCCAAACGTGCTCAATAGGAGATAGATCCGGCGACCTGCTGGCCGGCCAAGGTAATGTTCGGTAAGCACTAAGGCAAGCAGTAGAGACATATGCAGTATGGGGGCGGGCATTATCTTGTTGAAATGTAAGCCCAGGGTGGTGTGACATGAAGGGCAACACAATGGGCCTTAGAACTTCGTCGACGTACCGCTGTGCTGTAAGGTTATGATGGATGACAACCAAAGGGGTCTTACTATGAAATGAAATGGCACCCCAGACCATCACTCTGGTTGTCGGCCTGTCTGCCGGAAGACAGTCAGGTTGGTAACACACCGCTGTCCGGGGCGTCTCCAGACTTGCATTCGCTGGTCATCGGGGCTCAGTTCAAAGCGGGACTCGTAACTGAAAACTATTCTACTCCAGTCAGTGACATTCCAGTGCGAATGACCCCGACACCACTGCAAACGGGCTTGACATTGTATAGATGTCAATGGTAGTCAGCACAAGGGGTGCCATGACCTCAACACCTTTTCTGTGAGCCGTCTATGAATAATCTTTGTGGTCACTGAAGCACTAGCTGCACGTACAATTGATGATAATGTTGCATCTGGGGCTGCTTGGTCTTCACAATCTGTCGTTTCTCTAGGCCTACCACTTCCTTCTTGATGCTGTGTGCGGCCATGGTTCACCCATTCCTGTCAACATTGTCTAGTGGTATCGCTCCTGCTCAAATGTCGAGCTATTCGCTGATAAGACCAACCGGCTTCTTTGAGCCCAACTACACGACCTCTCTCAAATTCTGACATCTGCGCATATCGTTCGTGCACCTGTATGCGAGGCATAGTTACTGTCTACCAGAGTACAAGAAATGAAATCCATGAAGAATTCATGACCTGGAATCATAATTTCTCCTCTTAAATATCCTGCCAGTTGTGCAGATCAGACGTGCTGTAGTGACAACCGTTCATTCATTGGCAGCCGAAATGTAAAATTTTGCACTTTCCATCGAAACCTGTATGCATATCAATTTGTGTCCAATTTGCTTCATATCTTCTTGGTACATTTTTTTTTTTTTTTTTTTTTGTCTAAGAGAGTATATAAGCAGCATAGCTAGAAATTTTAAAATTCAGGTACATTATATGGGGCTGGAAATGACATTTACAATTATAATAAAAATATAAACATTAATAAGACTTAAGGCAAAATGAAGCATAGATTACATTTAAATGATTCACTTTTCACGCTGTACACTTTACACTACAATAAACATATGAAAATAAATGAAAGATTTTTTGTTTCCCCCACTGGCAACAATTTCTTTCTTGCCAAAATGTAAACTGTTACCTTTGATCTTATGAAAACAAGAACAGTTGATTTGAAATATAAATTAAATAGTGTATACAGATGATTTTTTTAGTAAATATACTATTTTACATCAGCATTCATTTTTAAAAAAATGCAGAAATTCAAAAGCTATAGCTAATTTATTTGTAAGCAGGTTTAATACATATCAGATATTTATTATATCACAGATTATGCTAAACAAAATTGAGAAAAGAGTAAAAAAAAATATTTATTTATGGATATCTTTAAAAAATAAGGATACATATTTTTTAATTAAATGGATTAAAAAAATGTTTTTACATAAAAAAGACTTTTTTTTTTTGAAAAATAAAACAAATTTAACAATCAAGTATAAAATACGTATCTATACAGAAAAAAAAAAAAAAAAAAAAAAGATGTGTACACCACGTGAATTCCTTGTACAGAATATTATATTATACGCACTTTTTCCTGTACTTCATTTATACTTATTTCCTTGAATTTCATTACAGATATATTTCTCATTCAATTAATTCAGTTATCACTTCGCAGCAAGGCGAAAATACATAAACTCAAAATATCTTTATTAAAATTTTAAAGATATAGAAAAAAAAATAAACAACAAAAATTGTTTTTTGACTTCTAAATTAACACCAAATACAGCTAAAAACAAACTTCTTTTTGCACAATTAAAATTAGAGTTTCTATGCAAAAACAAGCAATTCGGCCTGCAGGCAAGAAGGCTGATTTTTTGTTGTACAAAACTAAATTTTCCTTTTGGTCCCACTCTGCAAAAAGACACTGTAGGTGCAGAAAGACTTCATTCTCTATCCTGCAAAGTTTCAAATGTACAAAAATACGCTGAAGTGACAAAAGTCATGGGATACCTCCTAATATTTTGTCGGTCCTCCTTTTGATAGGCGAAGTGCAGCAACTCGACGTGGCATGGACTCAACAAGTTGTTGGAAGTTCCCTGCAGGAATATTGAGCCATGCTGCCTCTATAGAACTCCATAATTGTGAAAGTGGTTGACGGTGCAGGGTTTTGGGCACGAACTGACCTCTCGATTATGTCCCATAAATGTTCGATGGGATTCATGTCGGGTGATCTACATGGCCAGATCATTCGCTGGAATTGTCCAGAATGTTCTTCTATCCAATCGCGAACAGTTGTGGCCCGGTCACATGGCGCATTGTCATCCATAAAAATCCCATTGTTGTTTGAGTATGTGAAATCCATGAATGGCTGTAAGTGATCTCCAAGTAGCTGAAGGTATCCATTTCCAGTCAATGATCGGTTCAGTTGCACCAGAGGACAGAGTCCATGCCATGTAAAAACAGCCCAGACCATTATGAACCCCACCACTTGAACAGTGCCTTGTTGACAACTTGGGTCCATGGCTTCGTGGGGTCTGCACCACACTCGAACCCTACCATCAGCTTTTACCACCTGAAATCGTGACTCATCTGACAAAGCCACGGATTTCCATTCGTTTAGGGACCAACCGATATGCTCACGAGCCCACGAGAGTCGCTGCAGGCGATGTCATGCTGTCAGTAAAGGCACTCGAGTCGGTCTTCTGCTGGCATAGTCCAAGGAAGACAAATTTCACCACACTGTCCTATCGGACACGTCCCACATTCATTTCTGTGGTTATTTGACGCAGTGTTGCTTGTCTGTGAACATTGACAACTTTACGCAGACATCGCTGGTCTCGGTCGTTAAGTGCAGGTGCTCGGCCACTGCACTGTCTATGGTGGGATGTTATGCTTGAAATTAGATACTCTCGGCGCACTCTTGACACTGTGGATCTCGGAATGTTGAATTCCCTAACGATATCCGAAATGGAATGACCCATGTGTCTAGCTCCAACTACCATTCCGCGTTCAAAGTCTGTTAATTCTCGTCGTGCGGCCATAATCACGTCAAAACCTCTTCACATGAATAACTTGAACACAAATGAAAGCCCTGCCAAAGCACTTCGCATTTATACATTTTCTACACAACACTATTGCCATCTGTATATTTGCATATTGCTATCCCATGACTTTTGTCACTTCAGTGTATGGCAAGAAAAATTAAGCTCAGCTGCACTTAAAGAACTTTAAAATTGTTGATAATTCTACAACTATTGCATGCAGATTAAATAAAGGCATAAAAACCTTAGCCAGAAGATAAGAACAACATAATTCAATTATTTTTAATGCAAAAAATGTGCAATATATAAGAATATATAAGATATTCCAATATATAAGAATTTTTAAAAAAACTGAACTCACTGAGCCGAGTAACAGTAAGGTATATACTTTTGGCGCAGCCGATTGCAACCAAAAAGGGAGGTGCACAATTACATGTTATCGCAGTCCTATATAGAAAATTTCAACATTCTCACACTACTCGTTTTTGAGTTATGTGAGATACATATATACATATGTACAGACGCCACAAAAAAATCTCTTCTGAATCCATTTTAAATCAGTTTTATTTTGTTATTACAATACTTCCTTTACTTTGTACAAAGAAGTATTAAACAAACAAAACAGAAAACATATCCTTAACATAATCATTTTAAATTTTGAATTTGCAGTTTCTTACCTTCTTCACTTTCATCAGTTTCAATGACATGCTCTTCTTCTGACATTATCTATTATATGAAAAATATGAATTAATTAAAAAAGTAATACATTATGTATCTGAAAACTAAAATATGATGTCAAACTAGCAAGCCCTTCTAAAACAGACATAATTTATTACTTAAGGGTCATTTAAGCAGATCTACGCTAATCTTTGGAATATGGTAACAGGTAGTTTGGCGACATTTTGGTAAGGCGATAAAGGTTACTAGGTAGGACTTTAGCAATAATCTGAGAAGTACACAGTTTAATCACAGATTATTTTATCTCAGAGACATGAGATATCATGAGACATGTCACGTGACATTTTCCGGAAAATTCCAATCGTGATTTTAGCTAATAAGCACTTAGAAACAATTTCGCTGCTAAAGTGCAGAATCGCCCACTTATTTGTTTGGCGCTTTTTACAAGAGTAAGAAGAATTGGATTTTTGTCAATTTTCTTTGACTTTTTAAGTGAAAATAGGTCGATGTGTACATAGATAAAGTCAAGCGTGTACGCAATGCCATATTTGTGCAATTCTGGGATATTTTTTAAGTGAAAATAGGTCGACGTGTACATGGATACCGCGTATGTGCAATTCTTAAAAATGTGCGAAGCAGTGGGCGATTCTGCACTTTCTCCCAATTTCACACCTAATCTTCGTCGTGATTAAGCACTTTTGTTCCATAAAAGTTCTAGCATAAACGTAATTCGGCTAGCAGATTGTTGGAAAAAAATGTTGAGTTAAAAAAAAAAAAAAAAAAATGCCTTTACTTCGTGAAAACAAAATGGCATTAAAAAAAAAAACTAGCAGGTTGCTGTAGCAGGTCTGGTTGCCAAATTACCATACTCCGTAGATTCACCCAGATCTAATATTCAAATCATTATAAAGTATTTAAAAACTACCTGTTTACAGAGGATTTTCCAAAGGAATTTTTATTATTTAAAAATGGCAACACACATAAGAACTGTCAGCCTAGCTCAACTTCTGCAAAAAGGTAATACATTAATTTTTTTAAAATTATTTTTTATGTATTGTTAATTTCCAGCAAGGATTCAAGATGAGTGCAGTTGTAAATTAAAAACAGTAATAAAAAAAAGCTTCTGTATACAGTTTGCTACGATACTACAATTTCAGTGGCGTCTGCAAAGTCTGAACTGTTGAGCACACTTTTTGTTACAATGGGCAATCATAGTCAGATATTGATCTTAAGAAGCACAAGTTATTTGCGTATATCCTTGACCAGGCCTCTTTACACCAATTTCTAAAGTCTTCAAATTATTTCGATAGCATACATACTGTCCTGAAATATTTACACATCTTGCTGTTTCTACGACTGGCTACCCTACTTCTAAATGGCCGATGATTTGCCACTTCACAGATTCTTCCCAATGATACTTCAGAGGCACAACAAATTGTTTTGAGTCCTTAGACACTGAAATTGAAAGCTGCATTGCCGAAATTACTCAAATATTTCAGGGTATTTAGAGATGAATTTGGACAAGAGTGTAGCTACAACAAAAAGGAAAATATATACAGTCAAAAGTCATTAATCCGGACTTGTCGGAACTTCGGCGATTCCGGATTATCGATCATCAGTTTAAATCTGGTAAGATAGCATGCAGAAATTATAAAATTAAAAATATGAAACCATAATTTATGAAATAAAGAACAATTATGATCTAAAAGGTATCAATATTTACAAAAAAAAAAAAAAAAGAGCTTAATATTTATTTGTTTACTTTATTAAACATTTCTTTCAATGTAAGTTGTTTAAGTTGCTTCGTTTTACGTGATAATACTTTCTCTTTAATTCTATAAATAGACATAATTTCTTGTTCAGTTACAAAGTTCTGCTGTTCAAGTCTTATAATTGCTGTGTCGAGAATACCGACTAATTTGTAAATCGAAATTTTTCGTTTTCAATAACCTCTGTGTCACTTTCTTCACTATCGGAAGCGAATTATAATAACGAGGAATTTGATTTAAATCATATCAAAGACGGAGTACATCGAGATGAAATACATTTAGTAAGGAATTATAAGCCAAATAAAATAAAAACCTCTGCCCTGAAGATAAGGATAGTGCTGACAAATCAACTTCCAATTCATAGTGCGGCGTGGTGAAAGTTCAAGGTTAATTTTATAAAAATTAAGCTTGAACTTTCGATTATATCAAAAAGAGTTTCCAATTCTGGATCTACAAAGCGAAAGCATGTTTTAATGTCCATTAAACAAAAGGTGGAATTACTGCAAAAAATGGATAAAGGCTTATCTGTCTCAAAATTATGCGAGATGTACGGCATTGGAAAGTCCAGTATATATGACACAAGAAAAAGGAACGGTTAATCTTTAGATTATGGTAACTTGGCGATTTTTTGGCGACCAACCCTGCTACAGCAACCTGCTAGTTTTTGTTTGGACGCCATTTTGTTTTCACAAAGTAAGGCATGTTTTTTTTTTTTTTTTTTTTTTTTTTTTAATCAAAATTTTTTTTTCTAACAATCTGTTAGCCGAATTACGCTTATGCTAGAACTTTTATGGTACAAAAGTGCTTAATCATGACGAAGATTAGGTGCGAAATTGGAGAAAGTGCAGAATCCAAACTGCTTGCTGCGTTTTTAAGAATTGCACATACATGGATCCAGTACACGTCGAGCTATTTTCACTTAAAAAAATCCCAGAATTGCACAAAAATGGCATTGCGCACCTCTTGACTTATTTATGTACACTGCTAAAGTCCAGTTAGTAACTTTTTCACCTACCAAAATGTCGCCAAACTACCCATTACCATATTCCAAAGATTAGCCAAAGGAACTTTTTATGTAAGCATCTTAAACAACAACATTGAAGAAATGTTTAATAAAGTAAACAAATAAATATTAAGCTATTTTTGTAATTTTGATATCCTTTAGATCATAACTGTTCTTTATTTTATATTACGATTTCTATTTTTAATTGTATCAATTCTGCATGCAACTCTTACAGATTTAAATTGATGATCTATAATCCGGAATCGACGAAGTCTCGAGAGTCTGGATTATGAGGTATCCTTTAGTTAGAACTTATAAAGATGATGAGCTCATGGAAAGTAAGATGGTAAAACAACGGATCATAATTACAGTGAGCAGTTAGTCATAACTTTTATTCTCAAAAAATATATCAATACTGTCTATCAAAACACCAAAATCTTGTAACAAGCAATTCTTGAACTTTGCTAAGGAAATTCCAACTGAGATATCAAGAGGAAAGAAATTCGTAACAGATATCTTCCAACATGAGTTCTTCTTATATAGCAACATGATTGCTGCGTTTTTAAGAATTGCACATACATGGTATCCAAGTACACGTCGAGCTATTTTCACTTAAAAAAAATCCCAGAATTGCACAAAAATGGCATTGCGCACACTCTTGACTTATTTATGTACACTGCTAAAGTCCAAGTTAGTAACTTTTATCACCTTACCAAAATGTCGCCAAACTACCCATTACCATATTCCAAAGATTAGCCAAAGGAACTTTTTATGTAAGCATCTTAAACAACTAACATTGAAAGAAATGTTTAATAAAGTAAACAAATAAATATTAAGCTATTTTTGTAAATTTTGATATCCTTTAGATCATAACTGTTCTTTATTTTATAAATTACGATTTCATATTTTTAATTGTATCAATTCTGCATGCCATCTTACCAGATTTAAATTGATGATCTATAATCCGGAATCGACGAAGTCTCGACGAGTCTGGATTATGGACTGTATCTGTGACATTCTTTAGTTAGTAACTTATAAAGATGATGAGCTCATGGAAAGTAAGATGGTAAAACAACGGATTTCATAATTACAGTGAGCAGTTAGTCATAACTTTTATTCTCAAAAAATATATCAATATACTGTCTATCAAAAACACCTAAATCAACATGCCTTGTAACAAAGCAATTCTTGAACTTTTTGCTAAGGAAATTCCAACATGGAGATATGCAAGAGGAAAGAAATTCGTAAACAGATATCTTCCAATGAACATGAAGTTTCTTCTTATATAGCAGACATGAACAAACTGCGGCTCTCGGCACCTTAAATGTGGCTCACGAGCTACTTGCTGCCCTTTGCTCTCTGAAATGCAACTTGTTTGCAACAAACAGTTGTTAATTTTTTTAAATGCAATTCCTTTTTGAAAGAAAAACCATGCAATGACATGTTTCTTTATTACTAGGTAATTTGATTTCTTATATTATGTGTGTAATAATTTAATCGATTTAAAACTGTCTGCCACAGGATTATCCTCAGAGCAACAAACAAAATTGCGAAAAATTCCATTTCTGCCAATTGCTATCATGACTGGTAACTTTTAGAGCAGATAATCGCCATCAAAGAAGCCTAAAATTCACAAATACGAGGTAATTTTAAAAATAATCCTTTCTAATTTTTTTTTCTTTATCTCTCAGGTTAATTTTATTTCAGGTAGATTCTGCTTATTCTTTAAGTGTGATCCCCTTGCTTTACAACATTTGCTATAAAATGAGTTGGAAGATTTGCTATTATTTGTAGAATACTTGTGTATGTATATATGTATCTATATGTACACTGCGGCAAAAAAAAAAGGGGGGGACAGTTCTATATCTCCTGTTTTACTGGGCCGATTGATGAAATTCAACTTGCGTTTTTCGTGTCTCGAATGGACTTAGGATATGTATTAGATTTATATATAGCATTGTTCTAATATAGGTATTTGGACATAAAATTGGACTTTTTCTGAAATAACATACACTTTTTTTCCATACTTCGATTCTATGACTCAAACTGCCAAGTTTTATAGATAGTTTTTAAAAAATTAGCTCTCAAAATTTTAGCTCCTCATCTTAATTGAGTTTGGTATATATTTATTAATCTCTCTTTTTTTTATTAAACTTATTTGATTCTTCCTTTCACATTTTGAAATTTAGGTTCATTCCAAATAAAATTTACCCATTTTTTATGATTTATTTTTATAAATTTTTCAAAAAAAAAATTTTGAATTATAATCTATAAAA